TTTAAAACCCAACAACAATCAGAAAATACTTAGACTTCTATCTCTCACTTGGGCGCACAAAGGTGCAAAGGTGTGGTGGCAATTCTGCCCAATATAAAGACATGCAATCTGACTTCTAAGAGCTGGTTGGATGCATGTAAGGAAGGCTGAGTACACAAGGCTAAACTCTCAAGAAATCAGATTCCTTTCAGCTCATTCTATGCGCAAGGTAGGTCTAAAGGAGAGGGAACTGTCATGAGGGTTCAAGGACAATGGGATAACATGCAATAAGGTTGCCCTCCCCTCATTGGTTGCATGGGGAGGCAAGGAAAGAAAAAACTGACTTGTAAGTCCTCAACAGCCACCCAAGATCAGAATTCTGCACCTTCTAGGCGCACATGTGGCTGCAGAATAGGGTGAGGGCTGCCATGTGTTGATCACCACTCAATCAAAAGCTGCCTTGTGGAGATTCTAAGATGAGATAAGGATATGAAGAAACTTGGGCTGAACCTAAAATTCTCCTAAACCTCCCTTTAGGGCCGTCGGCCAACCCATGAGTTTGAGCCCAAAATGTTCTAATCCAATAGCCTACTAATTCAAAACCTAAGTCACTAATTTATGATTTCCCCAAGCCCTTGAAACACTAACGTCTTCTAATTATTATTAGGCATTTTATACTTTACTATCAAATTATTCATATATTTTTCATAAGGCTTCACATGCTTAAATTAAATATTCACCATAACTATAATTCAACTATTTTCCTAGCGCAATATTAATTCCATTCCTAGTAACCATATAGTTCGAAAACCAAACACATATATTCTATGTAATTCGAATCTTCACACATGCCTTCTTATACCTTAAAGTATATTATGTGTTTTCCTTAGTTACGTGGGATGTTACACGTTATCTATGGAAGATAAGAACCAAAGGTATAAGAAGGATAAAGACACCACACTCAAGAAAGAAGAAGGTGAGTGATAAGTCTGGTTTGAACGTCACAAGAATAAGATTCTTGATAAGAGTTCTAGATAAGAACCAAAGAGAAAAATCTCTCTATTATATTATAACTTCAAAATCTGATTACAAGAGTTGTATCCTCCCTTATTTATACTTGAAACATCCCTCCAAGAATAGGAAAAGACTAACAAATAAAAAGACACTAATTTAAAGTTGACAACTTGGAAAAGGAAAAGACTCTAATCAGCCACTAAACATTAATGACATTAAAAGTGTTAATAAACCCCACTAAGCATTAACAACATTGAAAATGCTATTAGCCTCATTAAGCATTAATGACATTGAAAATTGCTAATTATTCCACCCAACCTCCCTTGCATTGATGACATTAACTAAATTCTTATTATGAATAAATTTGGACTTGTTGTCTTCATGATTAGCCCACATTTGCTGGATCAACCCACTAAGAGCTTTTTTAAACTTCTTGGCCCTTGATCTTGTGATTGGCCCATTTGGCAATTGTAATGGATCACTAGGTGTTGTCTCTTTATTCATATCATTCCCTCTCTCTTTAAAAGGATTTGTCCTCAAATCTGCACCTACATTAAAAAAAGATAAATCAGAAACATTAAATGTTGCACTAACACTGTGCTCACCTGGAAGGTCAAGCTTGTAGGCATTATCATTTATTCTCTCAACACTTGAGATGGTCCATCACCCCTTGGAAGCAATTTGGAACGTCTTTGGGGTGCAAATCTTTCTTTTCTCATATGTAGCCAAACCTAATCTCCGGGTTCAAAAACTACTTTCTTGCGCCATTTATTGGCTTGGTTGACACATTGTTTAGTTTTCCTCTCGATGTGTTGCCGAGCTTTTTCATGAATCTGCTTAACAAGTCCAGCCTTCTTCTTTACATCTAAGTTAATATGTTCAATTACTGGTAAAGGTGTTGAATCCAAATGAGATAATGGATTAAAACCATACACAATTTCAAATGGTGAAAACTTAGATGCTGAATGGACTGTCCTATTATATGCAAATTCAACATGTGGCAAACATTCTTCCCATGATTTCAAATTCTTTTGAATCAAAGAACGCAACAATGCAGATAAGGTCCTATGAATCACCTCTGTTTGTCCATCTGTTTGTGGGTGACAAGTAGTAGAAAACAAAAGTTTTGTTCCTAGTTTACCCCATAAAGTTTTCCAAAAATAACTTAAGAACTTTGAATCTCGATCAGAAACAATACTTTTAGGAATACCATGCAATCTTACAATTTCTTTGAAAAACAAGTCAGAGATATGTGATGCATCATTGGATTTATGACATGGAATGAAATGTGTCATTTTTGAAAATATATCAACAATCACAAATACTGAATCCTTACCCCCTTTTGACCTAGGCAATTCTAAAATAAAATCCATGGATATATCTACCCAAGGTTCATTAGGTATAGCAAAGAAGTATACAATCCATGAGGCTTAACTTTAGATTTAGCTTGTTTACAAGTAATGCATCCCTCACAGACTCTCTCCACATCACGTTTCATATGAGGCCAAAAGAAATGTTCAAGGAGAATATCTAAAGTTTTGCATATGCCAAAGTGCCCCATCAAACCTCCCCCATGAGCTTCTTTAACAAGCAACTCACACAATTAACTTTTAGGCACTCACAATTGTTTCTCCCTAAACAAATATCCCTTATGTCCAAAGAACTTTTGATAAACCCTTGGTTTACCATGGTTTTAGGCTTAATTACACTTGAAATATATCATGATTGCATGGAAATTAGGGATTTATACCGTAAAGTCACAATAATTGAATATCTTGCTAACATGTTGTCATATTTCTTAATTCAAAGGATTTTTGACATCTATTATGGCCCTTTGGAAGCAAGATTTCAAGCAAGTGCAAGCTGGAAGAGGACGTTTTGGCGTCCAAGAAAAACGTTTAAATGCTCAAGATGAAGAGAACAACAATAACTCCCTGGACCAGAGCGTTTTGGCGGCCAAACAGAGCGCCAAAACGCTCCAGCAGTAACAAATCACCCTTCGAAGAGGACGTTTTGGCGCTCAACAACACGCCAAAACGCCCAGAGGCAGATAGGAATGCACTAAGAGAACGTTTTAGCGCACAAATAACAAGCTAAAACGTCCATGTACGAACCCATCAGCCCAAGATTCAACTAAGATTTTCCAATGGATACAGATCGCAATATCTGGGATTAAAGCGGAAACATATCGACCTTGATTCATAGAGATCCATTGGAAGATTGAAGAAAGATTATAACAAGATTCAAAGTCAATAATCTGTCACCAATCTACAAGATTTTAAATGCAAAAAGGAAACACCTATGGAATAAACTACAAATATGATACGGATTCATTGGGAGATTGAATGAAGGATACAACTCCAATGATTATAAATAAGGAGCTGAGGGTCAAGACCAAAACACCAATTCACAAGTCCAGGGAATTACATAGAGACCTGAAGGAGGAATCCTGTTGCGGAGCACTGGAACACTGAGGAACCAAGTCAACATCACACCAATGGAGGCTTGGGGTTCTCTTTTATTTACTATTGTTTTTCAATTCAGTATGCTAGGCTAAACTTTTATGTAGTTAGCGGTAGATGGAACCCAATTGAATCTTTATGTTTATGAGTTAAATTGTCTCTGAATTCTTTTCTTTTTATAATTGAATAAATTTATCTGTCTTTAATGCTTTCTATGAGTTTGCTCCTTATAGACTGATTTAGGGGAATTGATGACAATAGGGATGTTGGTGCATGAACCCTGACTTGGTAAATTTATCATAATCCTTGTGATCTAGGAATAGGCATAGGGTAATTGTGCAATCTTTAAATTCTTGATCTTAATGCATGTTTTCTTGGGGAATAATTGAGGAACTAGAGTTCTTTCAAGATTACATGGATTTAGGGTAACTAGGAATTGAGCCCTAATTAACTTAGATAGAATTGATTGGCATTATATTAAGAAAAGGTTCTTGACTCTTTAATTCATAACATAACGAGGAGATTGGGGGAAGTTGAAACCCTAACTACGCTTGTTTTTAATTCTTAATCAATCATCATCTTTTTCAATTGTCTTTTTAATTCTGAATCTTTAATTTGCATGTTATTGCTTGTTTGAAATTCAATTCTCTCAAATCCAATTCTTGATTGTCCAACTAAATCGTTGTTAGCGAACTAGTGCTTGAAAACTCAATCCTCGTGGGAACGATCTCATACTCAGTACACTTTATTGTTTTTGCGACCGGTGCACTTATCGAAGTCGCAACAAGTTTTTAGTGCCGTTGCCGGGGATCAAATTCTTCAACATTAGAAGTACTAATTACCTTTTAGATTGGACCTTTTTTCTGCACTTTAAACATTCTTCAAAAACATTTTCTGCATTAAAATTTCTGCATCAATTTTCTGCATATTTTAATTTTCTGCATTCTTTTTTTATTTTATTTTTCTATTTTCTGTTTACAATTTCTATTTTTTCTGCACATCTTTTCAATCTTAGTTTATGCGAGGTACTTTTAACCCGCGAATCTTGCAGTTTGATCCTGAGATAGAAAAAACCGAAAGGAAACTGAGGAAGGCCGCAAAAGCAAAGAAAACGAAAGAAGCAAAAGAAACCTCAAGTTCAACGGAACCTAAGGAGGAACCGATGGCATAAAATAATCAATTGTTCCAAGGACCTTGGGGGATTATATTACTCCAGCCCGAGTTCAACAGACGGCGAGCATTGTTAGACCGACCATAGAAACTAACAACTTCGAACTAAAGTCGGCGTTGTTGCAACTGATTCAAAAAGAACAGTTCGCTGGAGGAAGCACAGAGAACCCTTATAGTCATCTTGATGATTTCCTACTTTACTGTGATACATTAAAAGTGAATGGAGTTTCTCATGACGCTATCTTGCTCAGACTATTTCCATGCTCATTGAAGCATGATGCAAGAGCTTGGCTGCAGTCTCAACCTGAAGGAAGCATAACCAGTTGGGATAACTTAGCAAGAAAATTCTTGGCCAAATTTTTCTCAGCTTCAAAGATGGCAAGACTCAAATCGAAAATCACCTCTTTTGAACAAAAAGAAAGCGAATCTCTGTATGAGGCTTGGGAGCGATTTAAGGGATTACTCAGGAAGTGTCCTCAACATGGAATTGAAGCATGGGAGAAAGCAAAAATCTTTTTCCAAGGGATGACGTCCAACATAAGAACACTGGTAAATGCTGCTGCATGAGGCTCCTTGAAAACAAAAACTCCACAGGAAGTGCTAGAATTGTTGGAATCCTTATCTTCTCAAGAATTTGACAATGTCCCAGTTGCACAAAGGAGAGCAGGAATTATGAAGCTCGACGGCTATGATGCAATCTTAGCCCAAAATGAACAAATGTTGCAGATGCACAAGAAACAACAAGAACAATTAGATGCTCTTACTAAACAATTTAATCTTTCTCAAGTTTCTTCTGTTAGTAATTCTCAAATTAAATGTGGTATTTATGCAGAAGCTCATGCGACTGAAGATTGTGACTACATGAGAACAACTGAAAAGCCACCAGCAGAGGCCAATGGAATCTGGTACGATCAAAAGAACCAAAATGATCCAGGAAGAAACCAATATGGTAATCAAGGGTGGAAAAATCCTAACCAACACCCTGGGTTTAGTTACAAATCAACCCATCAGCCGAATCCTCCTATGCCATTACAACAACAACCTCCACCTCAAGGCACCACTTCAAAATGGGAAAAGGCTTTTGCACAGCTGTCCAAGACCACATCAGACTACATTCAAAATGTAGATGCCTTTAGAGATGAAACACGAGCATCATTCCGGAATCAAGAAGCTTCGATCCGGAACTTGGAGACTCAAATTGGTCAGCTGTCAAGACAATTTGCTGAAAGAACCCATGGCACCTTCCCAAGTAACACAAATACAAACCCAAATGCTCAATGTAATTCAATTGTTACTAGAAGTGGGATCGTGATCCAACCTGTTGAAAAGCCAACAGTGGATAAGAAGAAAGAAGCAGAACCTGTAGCTGAAAAGGAGAAAGAAGAAGATGCATAAGAAGCGGAAAAGAGCATTCCAGAGAAGAAGCTGTTCAAATGGGAGAAAAAGAAAGCTCTAGACTGGCAACCAAAACCGGCAGATCCATCTCCCTATGCACGAGTTCCATACCCACAGCGGTTGAAGCAAGAAATCCAGAAACAACAATACACCAAATTTCTGGATATCTTCAAGAAGCTGCAAGTAAACATTCCGTTTGCAGAAGCCCTGGAAAGCATGCCGAATTATGCGAAATTCATGAAATACCTTCTATCAAAGAAGTGCAAGCTGAAGGAGTGCGAAATAGTGGCCCTGACAGAGGAATGCAGCGCAATCATCCAGAAGAAACTTCCTCCCAAGCTGAAAGATCTAGGCAGCTTCAATATCCCTCTAGCCATAGGAAATATTGAAGTAGGAAAAGCACTATGCGATCTGGGAGCGAGTATAAATCTGATGCCGCTATCCATGTGCAAAGCTCTTGGAATTAAAGAACTAAAGCCGACTACAGTTTCTCTCCAGTTAGCAGAAAGATCGATCCGATAACCAGATGGGGTAATTGAAGATGTTTTAGTTAAAATTGACAAATGTATCTTCCCTATAGATTTTGTAATTCTGAATATGGAAGAAGATGTCGAGATTCCCCTACTGCTCAGGAGGCCATTCTTAGCCACCGTAAGAGCAATGATCGATGTGGAGCAAGGAAAACTGATGCTGAGGATGAACGAAGAAACAGTCACCATCGATGTCTTTGAATCAATGAAACATCCATCAGACGGAGGAAACTGTTTTATGATTGACATAATACAAGAAGCAATTGATGATACTATGAAAGAGGAGAGTTCCCTACTCGAGTTAGAACAAATCAACGAAGAAGTTGAAATAGCTGATAAAGAACCAGTGGTGGAAGAACTAGAAAGAAAGAAAGATGACATCCTTCTTGGAGCACCGAAGGTGGAGCTTAAGGAGTTACCTCCAAATTTGAAGTACGCTTTCCTTGGTGACAACAACACATATCCAGTCATCATCAATAATGAACTGTTAACCGGTGAAGAAGAAGAACTTCTCAAGGTGCTGAAGAAACACAAAGCTGCCATAGGATGGTCCTTCTCCGACCTAAAACGTATAAACCCTTCCTTTTGTACTCATAAAATTATAATGGAGGATGATATTAAACCTGTGAGGCAGCCGCAAAGGAGACTAAATCCAACCATGAAAGAGGTGGTAAGGAAAGAGGTAGTTAAACTGTTAGATGCAGGGATGATTTACCCTATATCCGACAGTGCATAGGTAAGTCCTGTAGAAACGGTACCCAAGAAAGGTGGAGTCACCGTGGTAAGAAATGAGAACAACGAGTTGATTCCCACAAGGACAGTCACCGGGTGGAGGATGTGCGTTGACTATAGAAGGCTTAATGCAGCCACCCGGAAGGACCGCTTCCCAATTCCTTTCTTGGACCAGATGTTGGAGAGACTAGCTGGTCGTGCCTTCTACTGCTTCCTGGATGGGTACTCAAGCTACAACCAAATAGCAGTAGCTTCAGAAGATCAAGAAAAGACATCATTTACATGCCCCTACGGAGTCTTCGCTTACCGGAGGATGCCCTTCGGCTTGTGCAATGCTCCTGCAACTTTTCAAAGGTGCGTGCTTTCCATCTTTTCTGATATGATTGAAAAATCTATTGAGATCTTTATGGATGATTTTTCTGTTTTCGGCCCCTCTTTTGACACTTGTTTAGAGAATTTATCTTGTGTTTTAGAAAGATGTCAAGAGAGTAATCTTGTTTTAAATTGGGAAAAATGCCATTTCATGGTAAAAGATGGCATAGTTTTAGGGAAGAAAGTGTCCAAAGATGGTATAGAAGTTGATAGAGCGAAATTATCTGTTATCGAGAAACTTCCCCCTCCCTCTAATGTTAAAGGTATTCAAAGTTTTCTCGGTCATGCAGGTTTTTACAGGCGCTTTATCAAGGACTTTTCCAACATAGCAAAGCCAGTGTGCAAGCTGTTGGTCAAGGATGAGGAATTCAACTTCACAGATGAATGTTTGTTAACATTTAATATTTTAAAAGATCGATTGACCACTGCACCTATAATCACTGCACCTGATTTCACATTACCTTTTGAATTAATGTGTGACACTAGTGATTATGCCATAGGAGCTGTCTTAGGACAAAGAAAGAATAAACTGTTGCATGTGATTTATTATGCTAGTAAAATTCTTAATGATGCACAAATGAATTATGCAACCACTGAAAAAGAATTACTAGCAGTTGTCTATGCATTCGATAAATTTAGACCGTATTTGCTGGGGTCTAAAGTAATTGTTTATACTGATCATGCTGCTTTAAAGTATTTGTTAAATAAGCAGGATACAAAACCAAGACTGCTCAGATGGATGCTACTCCTGCAAGAATTTGAAGTAGAGATCAAAGACAAGAAAGGTGTGGAGAACTTGGTTGCTGATCACCTCTCCAGAATTCAAGAGAAAGATCTTCAAGACAGACCTGAGCTGAAGATCAGAGAAGAATTCCCCGATGACCAAATTCTAGCCATCAATGTCATCTCGGACCTGAAAATGGAGGAAGTGAAAAGCCCAAATACACCTCCATGGTTTACGGATTTCGCAAATTTTAAAGCAGCAGGGGAAATTCCAGTAGACTTAATATGGAAACAAAGGAAAATTTTTTTGCACGACTTGAAGAAGTATTTATGGGATGAGCCATTCCTCTTCTACAGATGTGCTGATGGAGTAATACGGCGGTGCATTCCCAAAGAAGAGATGAAGGACATCCTGTGGCACTGCCATGGTTCAAGCTACGGTGGACACTTCGTAGGAGAAAGAACAGCCGCAAAGGTACTGATGAGTGGCTTCTATTGGCCAACACTCTATAAAGATGCAAGGAAATATGTGGAATCATGTGATAGATGTCAGAGAACGGGGAATATATCTAGAAGACATGAAATGCCCCTTAATAACGTATTGGAGGTTGAAATCTTCGATGTGTGGGGAATAATAGACTTCATGGGACATTTTCCTCCCTCATATGGCAACAAATACATCCTTGTTGCGGTTGATTATGTCTCCAAGTGGGTAGAAGTTGTCGCTCTTCCTACTGATGATGCTCGGGTGGTCATCGTGTTTTTAAAAAGAAATATATTCGTCCGATATGGAGTACCGCGAGCAATCATAAGTGACAGAAGAACACACTTTGACAACAGGAAAGTTGAATATGTATTGGCTAAATGTGGAGCGAAACACAAAATTGCAATACCATATCATCCGCAAACAAGTGGTCAAGTGGAGATATCCAACCGAGAGCTGAAGCGTATCTTGGAGAAGACGGTGGGAAGTTCCAGAAAAGACTGGTCCAAGAAGCTTGATGATGCATTATGGGCATACCGGACTGCAGTCAAGACACCAATAGGAATGTCTCCTTTCCAGTTACTGTTCGGAAAAGCTTGCCACTTACCGGTGGAATTGGAACACAAAGCATTGTGGGCAATCAAGTACATAAACTTCGACTCCAAGACCGCAGCTGAAAAGAGGTTGCTTCAACTGGACGAGCTCGACGAGTTCAGACTCTCTGCGTACGAGAGTGCAAGTCTGTACAAAGAGAAGACAAAGAAGTGGCACAACAAGAAGATCTTGCCTCGAGACTTCAAGGTAGGAAATCAGGTATTACTCTTCAACTCTCGCCTCCGTCTTTTCCCTGGGAAACTTAAGTCCCGATGGTGGGACCGTTCATCGTAAGGAACATGAAATCATATGAAGCAGTGGAGATCAGTCCGCTGGATTTCGATAGGAGCTTCACAGTGAATGGTCAATGGCTGAAACTATACATGGGAGGAGAAATAGAAAGGGGAACAACCACCGTTGCCTTGTAGAGGTAACTTGAACCAGGTACGTTAGGCTCGTGACGTTAAACAAGAGCTAATGGGTAGGCAAACCCATGATGTAGTGTTTGATTTTAAATTTCATTATTTATTTTTTCTTATTTTGATTTCAAGAAAAACAAAAAAATATAGGTAGATAAGTGAGACTAACGGTCGTAGATAAGTTACAGGAAGAAGAAAAGAAGACTCAAGAGGATAAGGTATGAATTCTTTTTAAGATTAATCTACAAACCTTCCAGCCTGAGAGCGTTTAAACTCACATCAGAGCACCGAAACGCTCAAGAAGAAACCAAACTGAGTTTCGAATATCACGTTTTAGCGGCCACATGCGCGCTAAAACTTTCTCCTAAGAGTAAAGAGGCACAATTGCCACTACCCTTGATCGTTTAAACGCTGCCATGGGCGCTAAAACGCCCTGGAAGTAATCAAAAGAAGGATCGAAGAGCGCGTTTTAGCGCGCTCCTGAGCGCTAAAACGCGTTATGCTCTCTGCCACTGAGCGTTTTAGCGGCCATGGTGCACGCTAAAACGCCCTTACGCGGCCCAGTTTTTTTTAAAACTTTTTTATTTCCCCCCCTCATTCTGCACCTTCTTCTCTCTACCCACACATCTCTTCTACACTCTCTCACTCATCCTCTCCCAATCTAAAGTATCTCTTCCTGCATTCATACCCAAGGAATTCCAGGTAACTTTGAATTTTTATGAATGATGATTGGAACATGTTCACATGATAGTTCCATTACTCTTTGTTCTATACAATCGATTCTTGAATTAGACCTTAGGGTTTCAATTTTGGATGGTTGACTTACTCATTTTAATTGAGAATGGATCGAACTAGAATTCATTAAAGTTATATCATATGCATTCAATTAATTATCTGATTTGAATGAGTCTTCCATGCCCAATTAGTAAGCACATCACACTTCTTCAAGCATGCACACCAACTGTTTGATTGAATGTTACATAAGAGTTGAATATCATAATTCATTTAAGTCCTAATGTTTTGGAACAATGTTCGTTGAACTAATCATTCAACTGTGCACCTACTGCTATGTTTAATTGTGCTATTAAAAAAATGAAATGCCCGAGTCTTTGTTCCATGGTTACATATTTTGCTTTTTATGCAATA